GTGCCGAAAGACGAGAGGATATAATTTCAGGTTCCCTTTCTGTAATAAAGATGACTTTTTCCTGCCCATATTGCATTGGAATGGATTAATGTGTTCATTATTTTTGTCCATTTACCATAATTAATTAGCCTAATGGTTTAAGGCCTTAGTTATTAGGTAACCTCAACATCTTGTTCAAAAAAGAAGTAGGAGAGGAGAAGAAACAAAGAAAAACATAAAAAGAATACTCTGACCCTATAACCATAGATTCTTCATGATATATCCTGATATTATATGCTATACCAAAAGTGAAGTATACAGTAAAGCTTCTATAAAATGTACTACCTCCGCCCCAACAAAAGAGTCTCGCCTGACTAATAACAGTTGGTTTTATATGCTCATATCTTTATATTTATTTTTCGAAAATGAGGTATCTGGTAAACTTTTGCAAATCATTAACACTACTCATATATTTATATTTATTTTTTAAACTACACAAATCATATGTAACTTGTATGAGACTCTCTTTGTCCAATTACATGAAAAATGAGCACTCCTTTTTAGTCCTTTTAGGGGACACAGCTTGTTTGGTATCAGTTTTTTTGTGTCACAGAGGGAGTTCTTCATTTTTAGCTCATTGCATTCATTCACATAACTGCATATCTTCCTAATGTTTGCAGATCTTCTATCAGGAAATGATACAAATGGATATATATTTATTCATGCTGAGGGTGGTCTAAACCAGCAAAGGATTGCTGTAAGTTATTGCTTTTCAATTTTCAGATTTCATTGTCTTATATTTGTATTCTTAAATGTTTCTGGTTTTTGACTTTTTGTGGGTTTGGCTGTATCATCTAACCTGCCATGTTGTTGAGTATAGATCTGCAATGCCGTTGCAGTGGCTAAAATAATGAACGTGACCCTTATATTACCGGTGTTAAAACAAGATCAGATATGGAAAGACCAAACGTGAGTGGCACTTGATGATGCAATGTATTCATATTTTGTTAGAATGATTTTATTGCTCCTAAGGTTGTCACTTTCGCCAATAATAAAGATACAGTGCATGTTGCATTCTTAATTTTCTTTATTTTATGTGTTCACTTTCATGTATAACTTGATTTGTTTTCAATGTGAAGAATCAAAGTTAGATGAATATATAAACCATATAGTTAAGGGCTTAAGGCTAGTTGGGTGAAGCAGAGCAGTACAACTGAAATTTTATATGATCTTTTAGCGCCATAGTAAAAGTTAAAACAAATTCTTGTGAGCATACATTTGAATGAAAATACTTTGTTGCAGAAATGACTGTCGAGTTTGAAATGAAAATTTCAATTCTGACTGTTGTAGTGTGTAAAAGAACATATGGGTACAGCAGAATGCGTTTTTATCAATTAAGGCACACCGTCAAATCTGGTGTGCGTTTTTTACATTAAGGCACATGGTCTAATCTGGGATTCAGGCACAATTATATTGATCTTTTATATTGATCTTTTTTTAACCTATGCTTTGGTCTGTAGTTTGTTGATGATTAGTCCTTCTAATGGCTGATGCTTTTAAAATTGTTTGCAGAAAATTTGAAGACATATTTGATGTTGATCATTTTATTGACTATTTGAAGTATGATGTGCGAATTGTTCGTGATATACCTGAATGGTTTACTGACAAATCAGAGCTGTTCACGAGCATAAGGTTTGGTGTTGGTCTTTATTATTCTACACGCTAGGAGATTCTTGGATGGTTGCCTTTATGAAAAAGAAATATCTTACTTCGTGTTTATCACTTTTGAACTCACTTCTTGAATTTCGCCATTTTAAAACACTACTTTCAGTTTAGTATGTTAATTTTAAGGTTGGGGGGGGGGGGGTGGTGAATTTAAAGATCCTTCATATTACTATTTACTAGTGATCTCTTGTATAGTTGTATGATTCTCTTTTATCAAACAGAGCACACTTTGGGCTATGGTTTTAGTCTTCTAGATTAATGGTACTGAGCTTAAGTGCCATTTTGATTACCATATGTGAATCAGATTGCTTCACACTGCTACCTGAGAAATGGTTTTCTTAAGTTAATTTGTCTTGCATGTCAGACGAACAGTGAAGAACATTCCGAAATATGCTTCAGCAGAGTTTTATATAGATAATGTTTTGCCAAGAATAAAGGAGAAGAAGATAATGGCATTGAAACCTTTTGTTGATCGACTTGGGTAAGTAAGTGCTATGAATATACGACATCTCTATTGATAATAGCCTCTAACCTCTATGTGTCTATGGAGAGTTCAATATGAACATTCATTCTATGGTGTTCAGGTATGATAATGTTCCATCAGAGGTAAACAGGTTGAGGTGCAGAGTGAATTACCATGCTTTGAAGTTTCTGCCCCATATTGAACAAATGGCTGATTTATTAGCTTCAAGGATGAGAAACCGGACTGGTAGTTCAAATCCCTTCATGTAAGCTTTCCACATTCAACACCCTCATAGATGACATTCTCTAATATATTTTGTAATCAATGTTCTCTTATGTTTTACATATACTTTGGTTAATGAATGAAGTAAAAGTTGTACCTTAAACAGGGCACTTCATCTAAGGTTTGAGAAGGGGATGGTGGGCTTATCATTCTGCGATTTTGTCGGGACGCGGTTAGAAAAGTCACTAATGGCTGCTTACAGAAAGAAAGAATGGCCACGGAGGTTCAAGGTTACAAAGATTCATGATTGTGATCAATTTTATTTCATAATATCCAAGTGATCAGTAATTCAGAATTCCTTATTAACCTGTGCTTTTAACATACAGGATGGTTCACATTTGTGGGCATTGGCCCTGCAGAAGCGAAAGGAAGGACGGTGCCCTCTTGAGCCTGCTGAAGTTGCAGTGTTGCTTAGGGCAATGGGTTATCCTAAAGAAACTCAAATATATGTTGCTTCTGGGCAAGTTTATGGTGGGCAAAACCGGATGGCGCCACTTAGGAACATGTTCCCTAATCTTGTATGTCCTTTTTCTTTCTTTTTAAAAGCCTATTATTCCTAGTTATTCATTCAATTTTGAAACCTAAAGTTTCTTCATTATAATTGAAGGCTTCTTTACACCATTATTGTTTTCGTCAGCGGCTATATGATGTTTGTCTGGGATGATTCAAATAATTTTTTTTGAACTCTGTTGTTCTTCAGTTGTCATGGTAGTTAATTGTATATATCAGGTTACAAAAGAGGAATTGGCTAGGAAGGAGGAATTGGACGAATTCCGGAAGCATGTAACGAGCTTGGCGGCCCTTGACTTTCTTGTTTGTTTAAAATCTGACGTTTTTGTAATGACGCATGGAGGAAACTTTGCCAAACTGATAATAGGGTACAGAAGGTACATGGGTCACCGCCAAAAATCCATAAAACCAGACAAGGGTCTAATGTCCAAATCCTTGGGAGATCCTTACATGGGATGGGCTAGCTTTAAAGACGATGTTGTCATTACTCATCAGACGAGGACTGGTTTGCCAGAAGAGACATTCCCAAACTATGACATCTGGGAGAATCCCTTAACTCCTTGCATGTGTAGAGCCTGACTCACGTTACATTAGTTGGTGAAGGTGAATCTCTAACTCTCTTTTGGAAGAATATTCTTTTTCCGGAGAACATTTTGCTTTGACCGATCGGCAGTTTGTGTAGCATTAGCATAATACTCAAAAGGACGCGATGAGAGAGAGAGAGAGAGAGCAGAATCAAGATGGACGTGGTAACTTGCATATTGAGCAGCCCGTAAATTTTCACCTAATGTCGTGATTCTCTTCACATGGGGAATTGCAGTTTTGTATGCTGGATATTAGATTATTCTCAACTGCTTCAAGAAAATGTGTAAATTACAGCTATATTGAACATCTGGTGTATTTTCTTCATTAGAACTATTATAACTTGAACTTCATATCAACATGTCTGTTTGTAAAGGTTGATCATTTGTAGTTTATTCAATTTACTGTGCACGTGTATATTTCCTCAATAAGTAGGAGTAGGGTGGTAGCCGAACAAGCACGAGCAGAGTTGAGCTCTGTTTGGATCGATTGGCAAGGATTTATACTGTCAAACTTTGTTTATTAAGGCGATTGTTGCAGAGCATATAATTTGTGATCATATTTGATTTTATATTGTCATGAACAAGTTTTTTTATAAAACGAAAATACGGAATGAGTTCATGAACACGTTTAACTTTAATGAGCTTGTTTTTGTGGAGCCAACATGCTCTTAACCAGCAATCAATCAAACAAATAAATGTCGTTTTCAAGTCACAAGGTCACGAAATAACAAAATGAGATCTCACAACATTCTCTTTAAAAACACAACTTTTTATCTTTAGTTTTTATTGTCACAAAATTGTCACATTTCAACAAAAGTCTACGGACACTTTATATACTCCGTACTAGGGATGGATCCAGGCCGATCCGGTTCTGGGCCGGGCCCGGATGGACTTTTTCCCAGGCACTTGGACCCGGAACCGGCCCCGGTTGATACCGGGTCTGGGCCTAACTGGGCCGGGCCCAATTCAATGTTTAATTTTTTTTGGCTTTCTTGTTATCCCCCTACCCCCTCACCCCACCCCTAAACCTCCCCAAAACACCAAGCCCTACTCTAGGAAAAGAAAAAAAATTGAAAAAAAGCCCGGGCCCAGGCCGAACTGCCCGGGCCGGTTCAACAAAAATGGGGCCCGAGCCCGGCCTTCCCGACCCGCCAAAACGGGCTAAAAGCCCGGAACCGGCCAACCAGGCCCGGGCCGGTCCGGGCCCGCACAGTAGCAGGCCGATCCGAGTTCCGGGCCAGTTCAGCCTGACCCAATCCAACCCTACTCCGTACATTATGTCTTTGACGTTGACGACTTTTGATGATATGTCAAGGATTGGATTCTTTCAGACTATTGTTTTTCACCATATATGACATATTTTCGATCATTAAAAAATTAAAATAGATGAAGAGTCAAAAAGTTGAACGGAAAGACCACAAATGATCAAGAAACATTAATCAAGTATCAAATGTGGATTGAGTGAAAGATAAGAACAAAATGTGAAACTGACGGAAAACTCATATACCAAAAGTGGAATTAACTCTTCCTGTATATCTAGACCAAGAAAGCATAACGTCACTATTATTGACACGGAACAAACATTTCAACAACGCTCACAATCAAACACCACATGTAGGCCATTTTTTTCATATGCACGACCCACACCATCCTTGCAATATATACAACATATATACAAAGTATGAATACATACAAGTATTTGCCATCAAACAAAAGATAAGATGACAAGAAGACTATCTCCCTGTAATTCAAGGTCTTATATCCTTCACACATATACAAAGACACGATCCTCGGGGATTTAATGATAAAGCTGAGAGTTGCATAACCTAATTGTTGGGATAGCAATCAAAGGAGTCTTTTTCTTGGTGACAAGTCCAAACACATCTACCAAATCGAGCTTTTCACCTTGAGGAAGATGCCAGTTGAATGAATGCAACAATGAGCCCAAAATGTACAACATTTTCTCAGCCAAGGGAATGCCGGCACAAATTCTCCTTCCTGATCCAAATGGAATAAACCGGAAATCATTACCAGTGTAATCTAAACACGAACTCGGACCAAGGAATCTCTCCGGCTTGAACTGCAGCGGATTGTCCCACAAATTAGGGTCTCTATGTATTGCATACGTATTCAGAAAAACCTTAGTGCCCTTAGGAATTGTGTATCCGCCCACTTGTGAAGTTTCCCTTGGGGACCTGGGGACAAGGAGTGGCAATGCAGGGTATAAACGTAAAGTCTCCTTCACAACAGCATCTAAATATGTGAGTTTTGGTAAATGGAACTCTTCAACAGTGTTGTTCATTCCTACTATATGCTCTAATTCATTCTGGACCTTTTTCATTGCTTCTGGAAGGTCAAGTAGCACTGCCATAACCCACTCCACCATCGTAGCTGTTGTATCCGTCCCACCTATCACAATATCCTTAAAAGATGTATAAGATTAGGCTCATAGTCAGGAAACGAGTTTCAAAGTAGAATTCATATCGAGTTTTAGGATATACGGAGTATAACTGTACATCTTAATCTTCATTACAATCTTAATACCAATGTAATTGTATAATTAGTTGGGGTTGTTCCTGAATATTTTAGTGTCAATCAATTTGATTTGGTTGATAGACACCTTACTTAGGAAGAAAAAATGAGATGAAAATTACAAAATCAGCATCATGACGTTACTTGGTATAATGATCCACACAAAACCGAAGTAAGAAATTGATCATTTCATAACAACAACAATCTTTTCACAAAAAAGGTTTAGGGTGATCCAAAATAATCCCATAAAAATGTCATGTATTAAAAGTTATTGTTGGTCACATAAACAATCACATTTCATCATTCGGAACTAGTTTGCAATTGATTATGACTTTTGACAGTTATACCCTGACACATTAGGATTTTTTATAGGAGTGATGAGAGTATTAACAAATTAATACTACCTACTTCATAAGACAATGAAAATGAATGATGATAAGGATGGGCTCAGCGTTCAATAGAACATTAGAATAGCATTTTAGACATAATCAAATCTGTTAAAGTGAACCCACATTGACCCCTTATCACACCCAAACTATAACGCGACTTTAATTCTTGTCGAATAAGATCACATATCTACTTCTGTTTGATGATAATCAGTTTGATAACTCACTTACTGTAATCACATAATTATTAACTCGAAAAATACTTTCTGTCACATTTTGCAGGATATATTTTTCTATGTTCGTTATCTAAAAATATGAACACTTTTCTAAGTTGAACTTCATTAACTTTTGCTTGCATACTTTATCATTTCACTTATTTTACTTTTTATGGACTTATACTACTTTTATTTGTCTCCCTTTTCTCTACTAATTTTATTTAACTCTGTTATTATGTCGATTAATGTTCCCTATGTTGCGCAGACACATTCAGGGGTACGAAGGACATTGAAAAATGGATAGGTCAAAACAGATTCATTTAAAAACAGGACGAAGACACTGGGGTATATTAATAAATATGCATATTAATGATATATACAAAGCAACATTTTTCCTGATTATTTATTTTCTAAAGTAATACACAGTAAGAAATTAAAATAACAAGTTCATAATTCTAGCTTATTACACAAATTTGACAGAGAACAATAGCTTTGCAACAAATAATGAAATATTTAACATATAGGAACCTCATAATTCAATAATCAATGTTCACTACGTCCAAACTAAAACTATACTGAGTAAAACCATATAAAATATTATTAGTAGATTCATTTAATTCAAGACAGTAGATTAAAACTCCGATTCATCTACCAAAAGGTTTGGAATTTGCAAACTCAAGTGCTGATATATCTTTACTAAGATGATCTCTACCAAATCCTACATTTTCTCTTCTCATCATAATATAGAGAAGTGTTACTTGATAGAAGAAGGAGATTATTATAGATGAAAATTAAACTTGTACGCGTAGGTATGCGTTTTTTGTGTGGACACTGTTTTATTTGAGATAAATTATGACATGGAATGTATTTAAAAGTTTGCTATTTGAAATGTATTTTAAAGTTTGTTACACTTTCCCTTTTTGGTATGTTTTTCTTTTAAAAATACTAAATTGCCCTTACTTTTTCCACTTTTTGTCTTATATTTCCTACATTTTCACCTTTCTCTCCTACTTTTTATACATTATTCGTTACTCCTACTATTTTTTTCCTTAAATATTATGCCAAGATCTAATGTAATGATCTTTTAAATACGGAGGGAGTATGGAATAGTAACTCCATATAATCAATATGGCTAGAATATTGTTGGGTAAAAAACTACTTAATGGCGTCCGATCTTTTTGGGACGGGAGGAGTACTACTTAAAAGTCTATTCGTACAAAAGATTCTTATAAATGCAAGCCCCACTGAAAAACACACCTGCAAGATGGCCTTGATTGCATCCAAATCCAATGCGTTGCCAGCTTCAGAGTCCTTTAGCTTCAAGATTATCTGCAGAAAGTCCTTGTTCTCACCATCCTTACTCACACTAATCTGAGATTTCTCAGAAACAATTCTTTCACCTTCTTTAATGATGGGTTCAAGAATATTTCCTACAACCTTAAGAATATTCCCCATCTTTGTCTGTATTCCCTGTAGATCAAATCTAGCAAGCCATGGAAAAAAATCAGAGATATTAGGCCCACCGATTGTAGCAATATACTTCCCCATCACCTCCCTAAACTCTTCTCCAACCTTCTCACGCTTTTCTTCATCAGATCCCAATGTACTCCCCAGAATCATGCTCATCACTACATTTATTTCAGTCAAAGAGGCCAATTCCCCAATATCCACAGCCTGACCCGTTTTCGATTTCAGGCTCCTGATCACTTTTCTAACCTCAGTTCTTCGGTGCTCGTGGCAAGCTCTAATGTTGCTGCTACTCAGAATCTCCCGGACAAATAGCTTCCGGACTTGACGCCAATAATCGCCGAGGGGCGCAAAGGCAATGTCACGGCCGCCGTAAGTAGCGATCAGCGCTGCTACGGATGGATCGCGGTTAGCGAAAAGTGCATCATGATCGCGAACGATCTCTTTCACAAGGGACGGCGAGCTCACAACCACATAAAGCTGACTTCCTAGTTGAAGCTTGAAGATCGGGCCGTACTTGTGGGCGAGATCTGTGAACTGGTGGTGAAGGTTAGGGCGAAGAAACGGCAGGTATCCGACCACCGGAAAGCCGAGCGGTCCCGGCGGTAACCGATTAACAGACTTGTATGGGGTTCCATGATAAAGCCGCCACAGGGTAAAAACGAATAAAGCTGTGAATATGAGCAGAGCAAAAGTTTCAATGTCAGTGCCAATAATCTGGGCTGCAGAAGCCATTTTTGTGTGAATGTGTGGCATAGGATCTAGCGTCTCTCCAGAGCTTATAGTCATCTCTTATATACATTCTCTTCGTCTTTTGCTCACCGTCGATTGCTACTGCACTTATCTCTTAAGACGTTTTGGACGCCAATCTTTTTGGATTTGGACTTTTTGTCCCTGGTGCGTCGCCGTCTCCTAGTTGTTTTTCCTCCTCTTCCTTTTTGTTTGCCTTTCTTCTCTTCTTTCTTTTCTCCAGACCATTAAATTAGTTTCCATTTATTTTCGTTGTTGTTTTTCAATTCTTTTTGCCATTTTGGTTGTTTTTGACGTAAATATACTTAGGGTTTTTTTGGAATGTCTCAGCTCTCAATTTCATTTTACTTTTTTTGTTAAATTTTTTGGTCATCATTGAAAAAGTTAAAAGATGATCTTTTTTGTAATTACTATTTCTTCCCCCAATTTTTTTTAATTGCAACGTTCTCATTTTGACGTTTGTCAATGCAAAATTTTGATCATGGAAATATTTATTTTTTATTAGTACAAAAAAATCAGATATAAAAAATTTAAAATGAGAGAATTTAATACAAAGTATTTTTTAAAATTAATTCCCAAATAAATTAATAAATAAATGCAGTCAATGTACAATATATGAATAATGTTAAATTCAACACGTTGAATCCATTTAAGAATGGAAGTAGTACTACGTATAAGATAATACAAAAATGTTACTTTCAATTCTAGTCATGAATTTAAAACATACTCCCTCCGTCCCTTAAAACTTTGTCAAGTTTGACCGGCATGGAGATTAATAAAGTAAAAAATGTGTGATTGAGATTTGTGTAGAGGAGAGAGAATTAACTGGAACCACAAAATAATTGATTAAAAGGGAAAATGACAAAGTTTTTTGGGACATCCCAAAAAGGAAAGTTGACAAAGTTTTAAGGGATGGAGGGAGTAAAGACTATTAAAATTTCTCTCTTTAGATGAGTCCCTATATCAAACATCCGGATGTATGTATACCCGGCCCAACTAAGGAAGGCAACCCAATAACTAATAAAAGTCAGTTTTTCCGGTGGCATTTTTGTAATTTAAGTGAAAAATCACTGTTTCCGCTAAATGAGCAATAACTTACTTTTAATGAGTATCTGACCTATTTTATTGAGTATTAGGAGGCTAACAAGGGAAATTTACCGGGATATGACCAAAACATATTGAGTTTTCCTGTATATGACTAGTTATGTTTTTAGACATTTGTATGACTGAAAACTAAAAATATAAAGAAAAATTCGTTCATAATAAAATATTAAATGACCAAAATACCCATATTCAAAAAAGGTGCATTTTACACTATTTTCGTCCAATTAAAAATAATGCACTTTATACTGCAATTAATGCACAACATTACTGCACGACATTACTGCACATCCGGTAACATATCACTGCACTTCCACAAATCTTCTCATCCAATTTATAAATTTATTTATAGATTTTTTTTGGATTTAATAATTTTTACATTTTACATCTAATTAAATATATTTAATTTCATGCCGGTGTTACTGCTCTACATTACTGCACTACTGGTCATAATCACTGCACTTTCTGTCAACGTTATAACACGTTCTATGGCCTTCGATTCAATGCACAACATACTCCGTCAATGCATTTATTCACTGCCCATTTTCACTGCCCGTGTTTAATGCCCACAAACCCTAATTTTAAAGAACCTTAATATTATATTGGACGATTCTGCTACTGCCCCTGTTACACCTATAGCGGCGCTTCAAGGAGAGAAAATATAGGCCATATTGTTGGAGTGCTAGGCTAAGCCCCCACTAGTTGAAAAAAAGCTTATGAAATTGTTGGGTTATTCAGAGGAAGAAAAAAACTAGAGCATGTGGATCCAATTCGTTCTTCATTAAACTGTGTGTCCCTTACCTTCAACCTATCTCCCTACAACTTTGATCGGCTTTAAAAGCTCCAAATAGGGGATCTGATTTTGAAATCCGAAGGCTCTAGTTAAGTGCAGGGACGGATGGACGTAACTGGGCGCGACTGGGCAGGTCCGCGCATAGCTCAGGATGGCGGCACCGACGGGGCGCTGGCGGCAGTCTGGGCTGCGGCTGCGGCGAGTAGGCATGGGGCTGGGGTGGCCAAGCAAGCTAACGATTGGATGAACTTGTGACTGAGCAAGCAAGCAACTGGATGATCGTGCTCCTGGACGGCAGCGGGCAGCGGGCCGTGAGACGACGGCGGTGGATGGTGGGCCGTGTGACGGTGGCAGGGGCGTGCAGCAGGAGGCGGGTGGATCTCTAGAGGCCGGGAGAGTGGAGGCTAGGGTTGGAGAAAATAATAGGAGCTTAGATTTTTATAGAGATAACTTAAAGGGTATATTTGTCCACCAAATTTATTTATTTATTTATTTATTACGAATTTTAAATAAATATTATAAATTTTAATATTATTTTGGTAAAAAAACTGGTTAGGTCATAGATTGAGAAACTCATTGAGTTTTAGTCATATCTAGGATAATTATCTCGGCTAACAATGAGTATCACCATATCTGCTTCATCCATTCTATTTATATTTGTTCTTTTATAAAACTTATTAAATAATATGTATAAACAGTACCTATGAATTTGAATATGTGAATTTAATGTGATATGATACTTTTGAAATATGCATTGCATGAAATTTTACAAATGAGCATAGCATCGGTAGTACCAAATGAGCATATGTATCTTACAAAATGCGCATTAATATGAAAATCGTAAGGTTTGTTAGTTGAACGTCACGACATTTCCATTGAGTATCAAACAACTTCTATTGAGATGAAAATCATGATTTCTGTCAACTGAGCATTAATGAACTTTTACTGTGCATTACATTTATTCTGTTGAATATTAGGAGTCTAATATTGAGCAACATGATACTTTTGAAATATGAATCTATATGACATATTAAAATGAACATAATGCCAGTACCAATGAGCATACAAAACCTACAAAGTGAGTATCAAAAAATTAAAAACATCATTTGAAATTGCTAATGTGCTCAAATCCTCATTTGTTTATGCTCATTTCGTATGTCAGAGCGATACCGTAAGGGTTGGATTGTGTTGTCATGTCAATATCACCAGAATCTAGTTTATAAAAATCATTAATGTTGTCATCTAGAATCTCTGCAGGACCGGAGGTGGAGGAACGACAACGGACCAGAGACGCCTGAATTTCAACTGATTGGAGCGTCGGCGATTGGGCAACCCATGTGAGACTAGAACAAATCAAGTTGGAGTAAGATGAAATTCGCTCTTCGTCAGATTCCATCAATGCAAGAACTCTGCTCGTCGTTTGATGTTGATGATGCAGCTTGGAGCGATGACAAATGGTTGATGAAGGTTGAGTGGCGCTATCAATGGTGGAGGTTGAGTGTGTAGCAGATATTGATGGAAGAAGAAGACTCAACGTTCAAGAGAATTACAAAAATACTGGATGTATAAGTACACCCGGGTGTACCTTATAATGTGCGTCTTTAGATGGATGCCACGAGAACCCCTCCCAACATATAGATAAATACTCCATCGTCTCCTATAATTTTGCCAACTTTACTTTTTTGGATGTCTCACTAACTTTTCTACTTTCTCTTTTAAGTAAATAATTTGTGGTTCCAGTTCATTCTCTTTCCTCTACACAAACCTCAACCACTCAGTTTATACTTTATTATTCCTCGTGTGGGTTAAAATTGGCAAAATTATTAGGGACGGAAGGAGTATTAGGCATGTAGCAAAAGATAAGACAACAAATTAACAATAAAAAGATGTTCTTTCTGAGAATCGGATTAAAAGCGATCTTTTATTCCATTCAGGAACGTATACAATTCCAATTCAAGCTTAAATGATAAAGCTGAGAATCGGATAGCCTCGGAGTTAAAGGAATCTTCTTCTTGGTGACTCCTCCGAACCCATCCGACAAATCCAGCTTTTCCCCTTCAGGAAGCCGCCAGTTGAAGGAATGCAACAACGAGGCCAAAATGTACAGAAGCATTTTCTCAGCCAGGGGAATCCCAGCACAGATTCTCCTTCCCGACCCAAACGGGAGAAACCGGTAATCATTCCCGGTGTAATCCAATCCCAGACACAGGAACCTCTCAGGCTTGAACTGCAGGGCATTGTCCCAAAGTTGAGGGTCTCTGTGTAAGGCATACACATTCAGACATACCCTACTGCCCACTTGTGAAGTTGCGGTTGGAGACCTGGGGATGAGGCCGGAATGGAAGTGGAGGGTGTAATCGAAAAGTTTCCTTCACAACGGCATCCAAATAGGTGAGCTTTGGTAAATGGCCGGAGTTCTTCCACAGTAGAGTTTATTCCGATCACCTGCTCCAATTCATTCTGGACCTGTTTCATGACTTCTGGATTTTCAAGAAGCATTGCCATGACCCACTCCACCATCGTCGCTGTTGTGTCCCCCCCCCCCTATTACTATATCCTAAAAACAAAAGGCCAGGAGATATGAAATGAATTTCAAACTAGCAAGTGAAGTTCATTAAGGTACAAAAACATCGAATATATATATAGTTCCTCTTCATTCTTTAATCAATTTTACACTATTAATACATCTTACTTTGATCACCATTTTCTACTAATACATACGTAGTACTACTTATATCCCGGAAAGCTAAGGGTTGTCATATTGATTTTTCTCGATCAAAGTTGGCTAATTTTAAACAATGATTTTAATTATTATATTTGTACGTAATTTATAAATTTTATACTTTTATGATTTTTTTTGAATAAGGAACATTTTGATATAGTTTTAATATTCAAAATAACTTTGTTTAAAAAAATATCTTTGGTCAAAGTTGATTCTTATTTTCAAAGAAAAGTCAATTTGATGTTTTTTTTTGGGACGGAGGGAGTGTATATATAATCAAATTATTATGTATCAAATATTATTAAATTTCTCTTAATATGTACTTCCAAAATATTAAAATGTTATAATGTTTATGAATACATAATTAAATATAATTAGAGTTAAAGTTGTGCATTGACAAACGTGAAAATCAAACTGATTAAAAAAGAAGAGATGTAGTGACGTAGTGTCTAGTGTAATATAACTGACCTTATTATGTGCCAAGTGTTAACCATATTGCCTTTTTTTATCATCAAAACAAACCGCTTTATATTAAAATCATAGGAAAGGAATCGTTACAACGAACTCAAAAAGATCAACCTTGACAACAACTATCACTAACCAACTAGAACTATCAACCCTACGGCTAGACTCAGAGACGACCACCCCTGAAAGAGCAATACGAATCGCTAACCACCAAACGGGTATGACACAACACATATAGATTCTTCCATC